GCAAAGAGGTTTGATTTTGTGTACATTTCCTACAGCTCTGCTCCCAGAAGCCGTCCCTTTTTAGGGTAAGAGAGTTCATGCAGAACACACATATCAACTCCATGTGAGCTTTGCTGCCCACGTCATTTCCCAACTTTGTAACACCACCACAGAAGACAGACTCTGATTTAATGTGCCGCAAGACAGGCAAGTGATACGGGGAGTTAGACGGGGTCCTGCAGGTAAAAAAAATACGAAAATACGAAAAACAAAACAAAAAAACATATAGACCTACATGACTGCTCAGCACCTGCTAAAAACAGATGGCTCACGTCAAATGATGGCCATAGCACTGGCATGAGGGTGGCACGCAAAGCTGCCAGTCTCACTGTGCCAGGCACTGTACCCATCCCCGAGACAAAGCCTGCATCGCAAAGTGCTGCTCAAAGACCGGACCTCTGGACTGGCTCAGCTCCACACCGAGCAGGGAGATCGGGCCCCAGGTGCTTCAGTTTTCCCTCCAGTCTTTAGCCCAAATAATAAGTTGGCCCTGTATCAAAGCCCCTTGAGAGAGAGTGCCATTGGTAAATTCCTGACCTAACACTAACAGACCACTCCACAAGACGCTCACTGGATGTATATCACGTTCCAGTTATGCAGATTGATGGCTCTGAAAGGGATCTAAGAAGTTAGGACGAATTTGGCATTTGTGCTTATCAGTGTTAGTTTCTCTATGGGTTTTTTTTTTTCAGTAGTCAGACAAACTATGATGATCCATTGGAAGAACATGCAAGTCGTCCTCCTGTATGATTATTTTGCAAGCAATGATTGTCAAAATAAGGCTAGAAAGATTACAGGCATTGTAACAAATTAAACTCAGAACTGCATTTCCAACTGTCTGGAACAGCTTCTTTGTTTTACACAACATCTCCATTAATGTTCCAGAGTCTGTGATTATTTGAGCTCTCAACAACGTCCTGTTATTCATTATTTCTCTCCAGGAATGAATAACCACGATCTTGAGAGCTTTCAGGCTTTAGCAAAAAGTCCAGTCATGTCAAAAGCTTCCTGAAACTGTGTTTTGCAAGCGACTCCTCTCGTGTCCATTCCAAAACAAAAATATTTTCCTAGTCTCTGTTTATTCATTGTTGTTATTTATCTTATTACAATAGGACATAGCTTTGTTGTTTTAGACCAGTATTTTACACCTAGTGCTCGGCACTTCCCAAAGGTCCATGAACTGTTTCTAAGTGATGCAGAAAAGGTATGTAAAGGTGACCGTTTGTTGCATAGGGGAACCACCTGATTCACTGGAGCAACAACAAGTTGGCAGTGGGAACTTTAGCTACCAAGTTAAGAAAAGACCTGGGATCCCAGGGCTCGTACTTGAGTTCAAGTGTCTTAGCACCTACTCAGGGTCTCTATGCAAACTAGATTAGAGCAAGCCCCAGCTTGCTGGTCCCTCTTGCAATCAAACCTTTCTTTTCCCTAGAGATGTTCCCTAAACGACCATCTCTGTCCCAAAGAATTTCAACAGATGAGCAAGACAGAAGGAACACCAATTATACACACGGGAAATCTGAGAAATACAGAGAAATGACCCAGGTCAAGCAAGCAATGACTGAGGTTTTTCAAAACCCAGATGAATGCATGTGTCTCAAGGCTGTTCATCTAAGGAACAGAGGATTAATGCCCTGGGAAGCCATTTTATCAGCCCCCTTGCTCTGAGACAAGGTAGCTTGCAGCTTCTGCGCTGACTACTACAAAGCAGTACTACAAGTAAGTTCCACAGGTCCCTGCCCTGATGCCATCTGACTACCAGATCCCACTGTAGCAAGTGGGCTTGCAGGCACACAGCAATTTCTGAAAGCCAGGCCAAGTGTTTATTGACTCATTCAAGAAATCCTGGGTTTGAACATGACATTCTTGTTAGACTGCAGTGATGGCCCAGCTGCCATCAGGGCCTCAAAGCACTAAGCAGTGCTCAGACACTGAAGAAGTAGCTGCCGGACCAGGCAGTAACAGCCTGAACAGGGAAGATGACAAAGGTTAAGATGGGAAATGGAAGCTCAGTTCACTCTCCAAGGCCTGACAGCTGGGAAGTAGCAGAGCTTGCCTCAGATCTACAGAGTTGCAGACCTGTTGAATAGGTCACGCTGCCTCCAGAGGCCTAACTGGAAAGAGCTGCTTAAACTAAGATAGAAAGCCTTCCTGATGCCTCTAGAGATGATCTTAACCCTGAATTATGAGGCACCATGGCCCAGAGGCAATAAAGCGAGGCCATGATAGATGCCTATAGAATACCCTAGACAGGACAGACACAAAGAGATTTGATTACCCTTATCTTTGCCTGAAGAACAATATATTGCAATTTAATGTGGAATAATTACATTCTCGTTTTTTTATCCTCTGCACAGTTAAGACCGCAGAAAAATAAAAAATAGCTTGTCCATCTTGCTTTGTTAATTATTTCAGTGGAGATTAATACAAGGTCTTTCTATACAGTGACAGAAAGGATGACCGTTTTAAACCCACTTTGGATCCAGTCACTAGCTAAAACACTTCCACCTATCTCCACTGCCTCCAGCCGATCAGCACCCATTCCCACCAGAACGGTACGGTCCTTTGGTTGCTGAAATAGAGCATGGACCGTCCTGTACGTTGATTGTTACATGAATTGACAAAAATTGCAACTGTTGTCAGCCTCAAGCTAAAGAAGCAGCAATAAGATTTCTAGCCTGTTGTGAAATAATTTATGCACGTTATAAATTCAAGATCCTATAAATTAGCATGTTTTTCCTTTTCACTATAATTTAGATTCGTATCATATGGAAATAGTGTACAATCTATCCAGGGAGAACCTATTTCAGATGTGTTATTGAATGCTTACACAGAGGTTTGAAAATAATAGGCCGAATTCAGTTGCAAAACTTCAGAACCCTTTTAATTCCTGAGATTATTTTAATGCACTGCTTCCTTTAATGCCACTTCCTGCAACATTATTTTTCTTTACCTTTTTTTTAATATGTTAAGCTTCTATTATCATCATAAACACATTTCTATTAACTACACTGAAGTAAAGCCAGTTTTACCTGCTGAGGATCTAACCATTGATTCAAGCTATAGATGCAGTCAGCTGGAAAACCATCAAAGCTAAAACACTCCAGCAATAAAGTACCAATCCATACCAAGACATTTATAATAAAAGACTGCACTTACCCAAACGCTCATAACCTCTCACAACACAATCCATTGGCATCAGTGTTACGTAAAGCTAATGAGAAACAATTCAAATGTTTTGCATTATCCCATTATTTCATCCCCTCAGTTAACGTTTATATGTCAATCTTCAAAAACAGAAAACCCACATTTTTTTAAAATGTAATTAATTCTGTGTAGACTTCTAATTTTTCACCATGATATACTTAGTGTTTTATTATACTGATACCCTTCAATCACAAAATAATTCATCTTTTTAGAATATAGCACCTGTTTATATTTATGTCCTGCAGGATAGCACTGCACCAAATTGTATGAAATTAGTCCTGAAAATGTCCTGAACTATAAAGCCTTTGACTCCCCAAACTGAAAAGGTATATGCCCTTTACTCTTGAGATGCACCTTAGTTAGTCCAAAAAGAATAATTAATCATGGAAAGCTACTCAATTAGTAGGCACTTCAACATGGTCAAATCAAACCACAGGCATCTGCAGTGGCAAACTTGTGTTCGGGTTTGGCAAATCGGGTTTGAACAGGCATGGAGCATATCCCACTCCTAATTAAAGGTTGGTGCGTAGCTCTTCCAAAAATCAGGGCCTACCTTTGTGATCTCACCGTGAATGGCAGTTGTTCACACATGCAAATACGGCTGGATGGAGCCCTTAGGTTACTGTAGCAGGAAAAAGCAGAGTAAGGTCTGATTTGGGGAGGGCGAGCCCCCAGTAATACTCCTAGTAGTGTTTCTCATTTCTCAAAGCAGGAGAAACTGGCAAACAAACCCACATTATAAATTCCAGGCAGACTACTGCCCTGTATACGCAATCCACGCTAGTAATAAAAATCAGAAAGCACATCCTAGAAACATCTTCCAGAAGGACAGACTGCTCTGTACACTTGCTGGGGGACTAGTCACAGAAACTCCTTCCCAGTATGCCAGTCCTATGCATAGGAGCCAGCATTGTCAGAGGAACGCACAGAGTATTTCATGGCTCAGATCTGAATAAAGCTTGATTAAATCTATGTATCGAGGAAGACAAATGTGCATGGTCAGCTAGACCTGTGGGTTGAATGGATTTTGCCTTGGGAAGAGTATAGGCTTTATTACACCATGACACATACAAAGAGTGAGAAAATAGCTTTAGGAGTCTTAAAAGACTGGGAGGAGTTCA